GACCGGCCAGCTTGCACTGCATACATAATGGAACATTCACCGCACGATGCCGCCGAATCGCATCTTGATCTTTTTCAGTCTCGGAAAATGGATTGTCTGTACTACCACAATAGCAGCAGGTTTTTATGGAGTCCAGATTACTAGAGTAGAATGTCATTTCTACCGGTTCATCACAGGAACGAAGCGTTTTCATAAAAATTCGGTCTTCAAGCGGATGAAGAAGAGGTAACAGTGGTGTACCGCAAGAAAATACACTGTTGGTTGCGATTTCATCCAGGAGAGTTCTCTCTCGTGTCGATAGCTGTTTTGGTGCGTAAATGCAACGAGGTTTGGAGCAACGAAAACAGTAAACAACGCCACGGACTCGATCGCCAGTAAACGGAGCAAAAATGATACGGGGCTGTCTCGAAGCGCAAGAAATAAATCTAAAGTCAAACTCAGAGTTAGATATGGGACTGGTTGTAGCCAGGCAAGATACACAGCTAGTCACCATTACGATTCTGAATCAGCGTATCTGATCGACGAGATGACAAAGGTTTGCGTGTTGAACACGTTAGATATCGGAGAGGTAAAATCTTGGTTTTATTTATTCATCCTGTGACGTAGCTGGCATCTTTAAAAGAATCCCACTTCTGACGTCAGAATAGACGCCTATACCAACAAAAACGTAACGCTAACAAATAGTTCTTCAAATCATTTTCCTCTTTACTTTTTATCAACTGATTTACATCAACTCTAACAAATTTTACCTGTCGGCGATCAACTACCACTAATAAAAATATTCCCTCACAACTCGAACTAGCATATTTTGTCACTACCGTCACCGGGCGTAGGCCATGACTGGGTGTGAAACGTATGACATCATTTTCAATTGTACATTTTCTTTTGTAATGGAGACGGTAACTGTAGAAACGTCTGAACATTTTTAGGAGTAATCACGCACAGTCGAACCTGAATTAAGCGGCACCGTATTAAGCGGTCACCCTGTATTTAGCAGTCAGTTGGCCGCAAAGTACGGGATTTGTTTCCCCTTTCTCACTGTAATTTTCACCTCTATCAAGCGGTCGTGGTCGCCTTGTGTTGTCTTTTGCCTGTATTGAACCTTCACTTAATGCGAAACTGCTCAAATAAAAGTAAGAATAATCTTTCAAATAAAATTTAATTCATATTTCTCCCCCGGACTCCATGTTAGTAGTATTTTTTGAGCGATTCTTTGTATATCAAGCGATAAATTATGGCACAAAATGGCGTTGTTAATCGTTTTCTGTATCACCCCTATTCTGTGGAATCTGTATTTAGGGGTTAACCTGTATAGGGTGGACTATAAAAGGAATATCGGAGCATTCTGATGCCATAATTTTGAACTTACGTTCTAATTCGCTCTACTCAACCAAACGTAAATTATGAATTTCCTTCCATGACGTATGGGAAACTCTTCTGCCCCTTGGAGTACACGTAGTACAACACCTATGACGAACGAGCGGTCTGGACTAACCATTCGTAGGATTGATTCCATGTGCGTGCTATCCTAGAGGAATAAAGAGTCTTGAATACCTAAAGCTTCGTTTTTGATAAGTCTTTCAAATCGGACAACAGCACTTGGACAGCAGAGTCTAAAACGGAACAAGGGCGTCTAAAATCGGAGAGTAGTGTCTAAAATCGAACGAATGATATACGAAGCGATGCTTGAATAATTCAAATCACTGCGAAACAGATTTAAAAATTGAAATCACTTCAAAAATTGAATTGCAGATTTTGTAAGATCTGTGACCGTGGGTCTCGACGTTGGTGTGAAAAGTATGTTTCGTTCATTTTTGTTTTTCAATTAGATACTAATCTCAGCACTCATTAACATGATGAAAACAGAATCCTCAACTGCAAAACAGTTTTGTTTCTCTAAATGATTCAGAGTCACAATGCAATCCGTTGGTATAGACCTCCGTTGGGTCTAATCGCAATTGTCTCTAATCATTATTATTACTATTTATCTTTATGAATGCAGTGATTTCCAAAGGAATAAATTGTATCTTGTCAACACACACACAGGGAGTAAGAATAAATTCATGATTTGCCTCCAAGGCAAAGGGTAATTAAAATTTTTAAAATAGGCTTTTTTCTTCAGCTTGTTTTAAGTTTTGATTAATGATTAGGTATCAAATCATGGTTAAATTATTAGGAACATAACCTCGTTGGAGTTACCAACAAATTTTTTGTTTCGAACGGAATTAATCAAATTCACGCGAACGGCTAAAAGCTCCTTTAAACAAGAGAGTAGAAAGCTCTTTGTTTCGTACCAAAGTAAATGCGAAATTGACAACTGAAACAAAAGTTTTCCAACTCCTGGAAGACCCTACGATACCCTGAGATCTGCTGACAAAAGTCGTAATACTAACAATTGCCTTCTATTGCTCGCATCTCTTTCACTTATATGAATTTTCATATTTGATTAGTTTACCTTCAACGATAAGATTCCCTACTCAACATTTCTTGGAAATCTCAGTCTTCGATTGCTGTAAATGAGGATGATGAATTTGAAGGTTTTCTTGGGGATTTTTGCTTTACACATCGCTGCTGTTTGTTCAGGTTTGTCGTTCCTCGCTGATCGTTTTAATTGCCATATCATTAACAAAGTTAGCCTTTTTACAACGTTTGGCTCTGCAAAGTAACTCGGTAAAACGATTCTTAGAAGAAAACTTAAAGTTTCCCAAATTTCTCCCTTCTTTTCTTGTTGATGGATGAAACGACATCAAAACACATCTTTCATTCACGTAAATCGGCTTTCCTGTGCTCGGCTTTTCCCTCGACATTTCAAGACATCATTTGAGGATAAACTTCCAAGATAAACCATTTAACAAGAACGATTTTTCCTTTTTTTTTCTAGTTTCCTCAGCTGACTCCTGCTGTAAGTAGAAATGTTCATTTTTCCTATTGGTAATCGTTTTAAGTGTAAAGAAAATATCTAAGACTTGATCTTATAGAATCTCATATTTCAACCGTTAGGATTTGTGGAGATTAAAACTCTTAAATGCATGACTCATTATAACTGATAAATATTCTGTTTCTTTTTAGTTTCTTATCCGTTCCACGACGCCATTTGTGAGTAGACACCTTTTTTTTGTGAATGATTGTAAACTCACGGCAAAAAAATATGTTTTAGTTGATCCCGCTTGCAGAAAGGTCAAACGCTGAGTTCGTCTCAAACTGCAAGTTGCAGATCTTATGTTGTTGGCTCAATTTCTCACATAGAATCTGATATGTTTTTTCTTCGAGATATCAAATAGTTCTTGCGGATACTTTAAAGCATGTCTTTACTGAGTTTTTTAAACATACAGGAGAGCAGATCACATTTGTTGTTTGCCGGCTAAAATTTGTTGTTTCCCGGCTGTAAGACCATGTAAAAGCCCATCTGAAAGCAGAGTTATTTCTGTCCTAATGTCCTGCAAGCACTTAACAGACCCGCAAAAAAACTAACATTGCAATGTGATACTCTAACACTTCGTTCCTGATCTTTACATTTCTCAGTGGCAAAGGTCTTTACGTCAGAATTATCTGGTAAGTGTGTAAACTTCCTCTTCAACGGTGCGGCTTACAAGGGGAGGGATGTGGTCCTTAGTTGTCAAGAATAATAAGCAAGGAAAACACAACTTGACGTTTCCAAAAACTATCTATTTTGTTCCACCTTTCTATGATCCTTCACGGATAGATTTGGTGACTGTAACTTAACTAGCTTTTGTTTTATCTGAATTATTTCACCAGATGATGATGTGGAAGAGTTGATTAAACAAGGTAAGAAGAGTAAATTCATTTGCGGCAAACGTGAAATAGTAAACCACATTTTAAGAACGTTCTACCAGTTTTCAGGATTCACTTGTAAGGATTTTTCTTTCGTTCCGTAGCTCGATGATTATACGACAAAAAAGATTTTGGTTATGAAATAAACCAGTTTAGGGGTTTTTTTGTTAGTTCAGTTGTTGGCAGGTTTGACGAGTCAATGTCTGAGAGTAGTTTAGATCAGTTTGTCCAAATATACAATTAATCACAACAGAGTATTCAGGTACACTCTCGGTCTTGGCTACTTATAAATCCTATGGAAAATCGTGTATGTGTTTTTTTCAGACTTGGTGAAGGACGCAGGCGACACCGAGGAAGTCGTCGATGGTGAGTTCCTTTTACTTTGTTAGCTTAGTTTCCTGGTTAAAATGCACTCCTTTGCAGTTCGTACGTGCTTTGTTTATCCATCTTGTTACACCAGTTCATTTCTCCCTGAACCGATTTCAATCATGACTTGAATGTCCTTACTCCACTCTCTTCTGATTGGCGTTAAATCAATTATAATATGGTCCTTGTGGAGTTGTCTGGCATCTTTAGTCATACTAAGTCCGTCTGCTTTGGGCTTAATGCAATTTCAGTCCATTGTGAGTTGGCTGATCGTGCCTCGCTAGGTCTATGTAGGTCTTGCACAGACCTAAAAGTTAATTTTTATCGTGAAACAATGTTTCAAGAGAGGCACACACTTATACTAAAGCGATATCAGATGTGAACCAGTAGTTGAATGATAAATTATAGGCTCTGTGAAAAACAGTGATCACTTAAGTGATTAATATCTGTTTTTATCTCGTTGCAGCTTTCGAGGATACTTTTAAGAAAGGTGTGAATGGAACTTTTATCAAAATCATCATTCGTCTCTTGTATTAAATTCTGAACCTCAACAGTTCATGCTCATGACGTTATGTTATTCTTCAGTTCGTGACCACGATTTGGGCAGAGGACTGCTTGCAAACCACAAGAGATCAGGAAGTAAATGAGATTTTATTTATTCATTGCCTATTACTCACTCAGTACTTTTAAGTCAACGGTAAAACATTCTGTGTCGAGGACTTCCGGTTTGTAAGTTGTGTACATTAGTTATGACAAGCACAGCTCTCAAGTCGAGAAATTAACAAAAATGTAGAGTGAATTGATTGATCGATTTAAAATCACTTATTTTTCAATCTGTAGTTGTATGTACCATAACAAACGTCCGACTCTGAGGCACTTTTAATGTTGTTCTTAGGCTCAAAAATTTATACTGCCCAGAATTAATAATAGACGGCATCCTAAAGTATTTCCCTTCCAAGGAGATTGTACTTTGTATCGTCGTTGTCGTTGAAATTTAGAAATTTTCAAAGTGTCGGTAAACTGAGTTTGAATGTTATTATCGATGAGTTGTTTCAGGGGGAGCCATTAATGACTGGAATTCCATGCATGTGGAGAAAGAAAACAAATATGCCGACCTATCAAGGTAAGTTCATAATCCAACACGGTCAGCTCCTAAATGTAAATACAGAGAAGTTATAACAATATAAAACAGGATTAATATTCCCCGGCTTATCCGCTACAATCGACTCCCCCGATGGCTAGAACCCCCGATAACTCAGAGCTTCCCTTTAGATCGACAAAGAAAAATTCTGATGTGGTTTTTGAGGGAAGCTGCACTTAAGCATCATGTGGAAAATAAAGATTGCCTGGACTTTTTCTTCATCTTACAGGATTCAAAGGCTGAAATAAAGGAAGGAAATAATGGAACATAGATAATGGCTGAATTGCTGTTAACGATGAACTAATGTAGTGCACATCTTTTGTAGCATAGAATTATGTTATCAAAAGCAAAAATAAAGCAGAGATCTTTGTGAACTTTATCTTTTCGTCTTATCGTCACGATGCAGCATATGCCTAATTTCGGTTTCAGTGACGTTTAACGAAGAGCCCCTCTCGTCAATTGCCTCCATTTTTGAAAATAAGAATTTTTCAATCCTTCGTAGTCAGTCAGATCAGCCATGCAAACAAGTTTCAAGTCTGTCACAAACGTGAGGGTACTTTATTTGAAGCCTGGAAAATCAATTCACTCGAACTGAGTCAAGGACTTTCGTCTATCTGAAAACTTTCTAAGCCTTTGCTCAAATGAATGACAAGCAAAACTACTTTTACCTTAAAAGTGTTTATTCATTGTTAACCATGCAATTGAGGCAAAACTGAAACTCCTCCCTGCAGGAGAGGTAACTCATCTTATGGTACAGTTTCGGTCGCCATTTTTTTTCTTTCGTTTTCCAAAAATAACGGCCGAAGAGCGATCTCTTTATTTTGACCATCGATAGCTTTGAAAAGTTTGTGATTAGAAAAGAAACGAGATCCCACGCTGATATGTAGCCGTATTCAAGTGTCCTTACTGAGGTCCGATGAGCATTTCATTTCGTTCGCTCTCTCTCCCGTAGACTATCATTCAATTCAGTAGAGATTGAAAGTAACATACGGTGCAATTCATCAACCTCGTGTTGCTTTTTTTGTTGTTGTTCCTGTTGCTGAGAAAATCCCATAACTGGAGGAGGCTGATGTACCATCTTTTTCCCAAGGGTGCTATTGTGTTAGCCCAGTGTAAAAATTGTCAATTTTACCTCGGCGATGGTAAATTTGGATTTAAAACCATTTTAAAACATTCAAGAGTCTTTCTTTCTTACCTTTCTTTCGAGCAAATCAACATCACTGTTTTTCATCATCCTTCGAGGGAACAGAACATTCATCTAATGTCATAATGTTACCTAATCTTTGTTTTCTACAACTGCCAGCTGCCAGCCAGCAATAGATGTATCAGAACTGGTTTATCCTTATGGCATAGAAAATTAATCTCACATTCGCAAAGAACCCTGCTAAGGTTTTTCGTATTTCATTCACTATTTTTATTGGCCACAAATTAAGTAATTGTTCATAGAGGGTAACATGCTGTTTTAGGTCTAATAAAAAAATAACTTTGTAGTGCAAATACTGTCTGCTACATAAAGTTTTCAAAGATTCTGGTCCCACGCTAAAACTGATAAGATTGAAACCTCCCTCATCGATCTCTATTCAACAATTAATAAGCCTGTTATAGCGTCAAGTTCTTTTGTGAAAAAGACCTCCACCACCGGATAGCTAATCGGCACAAAGAATTATAAATACATATTTTTATTGTTTCGTCTCCAATTTCCTCCCCTAGTAGATTTTTATGCAGGACAATACTATAAGACATTTTTAAACCTCTTGCAGGAGTCATATCATTACAAATCGATCGAGTGAAGAAGGAAACCTTCTCTCTTTTACTACAACAAAGGTCAGTATTGGAAAGAAATTTACGACTAATAAAATTCGGGGTAGGTGACAATTTCGGGTAAAAAAAATGGACAAATGGTCACTACTTCAAAGTTTCAGTTGAAGAATTTCAGAAGAGTGCGACACCTCCTTTAAACAAAACAGCAATACCTGATTTATCTTCTTGAATTTATTGTAAGTGTAAAACGTACACGTATTCCAGCCTGTCGGTTCACTGACCTACCCACTCACCCACACTGGACATAGACTTTTCCAGGTACGAACCGGGCTTACTTGAACTAAAATATTTCATGTCAACTTAGGAATTATCCAAAGATTATCATGGGGGCAGCCATCTTTGCCGTAGTTCTGTTGACAGTTTCTCTTACAGTCCAATCTGCTCCAGCGGGTATGAAGGTGTAAATTCTTACCATGATACTTGTAGCTATGAAGGCAAAAGGCAGTTAGACAATAGACAGTCACGTCAGTGAAGATTTTCTCTACTCAAACCACGTTTGACATCATCTATACCAGTACATTTTCAATGAGTCTCGCTCAAAAAGCTGAAATTCCAGTCTTGGAATCAAGGGGCTTATCTCAGAAAGACTTGTCGAGTGCACAATTTGCTAGTCATAGCAAAGATGACTCGAAATGGATAAAAGTGGCCAAATAACTTTATTAGGAAAGCGTTTATGATATTATACGAAAGGAAAAATTTAAGTATTGGGGCGCGGGCGACACAAAATTACCTAAGACTTTAAAATACCAGGCAGCCATGCAGTTAAAGGAAATTTATTTTTCATGTTTAGGTCAGGGACATAAAACAAAGGAGAGTCAGTTGGAAGTTATATTGTAACTTAAGGAGATCCTTTTCCAGGCCATCAATTGCAGTTATTATAAATGCTACCGAAATTTTCAGTTTACAACTGCGTATTTAAGGTACTTTAATTTCCTTAAGTTTTTTTATGTCATTTTTTGGACAGCAGATCTGGATACATATATCAACGAGAGAGAGGAACTACCACAAGAGGAACCAGGAAAAAACTTGCCGGCTTCTCATGCTTTGCGTTCCTATGCTCCTTGGGCAGGTGAAATATTAAATACAATATCTTTCACAATTTTGAAACTAATCCAAGCTACAAAAAGCTCAGACACGTTTGAGCACATTTAAGCCGCAACGCCATATTAAGTCCACGGATTACTTTGCTCTCGCGATTGAGTTTTTTGGTTTGGTAGTTTTCGAGGAAGTTGTTGTTTTACAGCACCTAAAAAGAACGAGAAAAAGGAAAGTAAACGGTAAAACCAAAATCAGGACTGTCTGTTGTTCAGGCTTCGTCTCAAGCTGCATGCACGATTATGTTTGCTTTTTTTATATAAAGTGAAACACAGGATGGTTTTCTGTTACCTAATTCATTACATTGCACACTACGGGTTAGTGTGTAAGTTATACAGATGCTTACACAAACAAAATATAAAGACTCTTTTTAAATAGTAATTTCACATCAATTTGAGGTCACGGGTACATCTCTCAGGAATGAAGAGTATTATTTTTTTAACCAGAATTGGAGGACTAAATTGGGAATTTGTGCTGATTAAAGGCAAAATGTCGTCATCGTGATGGACTGGGTACAGCACACAACTGTTCCCTCTTCTCCAGTGTAAAGTAAGGTTTTATGTTTTGCTTCTTTGTTTTTCTATTTGTTTGTTTTCTACAGCTTGTGAAAATGAATTGATGAAGTTGGTTCAAGAGGCAAAAGGTACTATGATTATCCGCCATTAAGCAGTTGATATTTCTGATGGGAGGTGGGTGTACAGATACGAGGGGCCAGTGTAAAACTCTTTACTTCAGGTCGAGTTTGGTCTTCCAATTTTTCTCTGGGAGGACTGCTTGATCTTTTATTCAAATTTTGCGGGTCGGTGCTCTACCTGAATAATTTGAACATTATCTTTTTATCGCGACAGAAATAAATATTCCAGATATATTCCTTTTACTTAAGGTGGAAAATAACACATCACGAATTATTTTAATTTTTTTAAGCACAAAATTATTCTTTTATTTAATTTTCAGATTAGGGGAGGTTTAAATCTTTTAACTGTGTAAGTTTTTTTGGACCACAGTTTGTAGGAGGTTTTTAACACCTGCGGCACAAAAGTTCGCTAAACACGCACGAGAAAATATCCAGTTTAACAATGAGATTGTTACGGCTGGAAAAGAGCTTGCTGATGGCGAAATAGATACAAAAGGTTGGTTAAAAAGTTTCTATGTCAGTTTAATTGTACCGGATGTCAGTTAAAATTATAACGTACTTGCTATGCAGTCGTAAACTGGCAACGATAAAGAATCCTGTTAGATTGGGATTTTGACAACGTCGTGAACCTCACTAGTTTGACAATGCTTTTATACTTAACTAAAAAATCAATATTCACCATAAGTAGAAATATGTCAAGCCCCTCTAGTGTGTTTGTTTTTTTAAAACCAGCATACTTTAAAAACTAAGCGATGAAGAACTGAGTTTCCATCGCTGCAAAGAAACCATTACAAACTTCACAAGAAGGTTCTTTTGTAGCTCCCTTAAAACAACCTCAGCCGCATCCATCTTTTTACAAGCATTTGATGTAAAAATGTCAATGTCCACGGATATAGCCTGAATCCGGCTAACTGATTCACAGGTGACCCTCCAGAGGAAAAGAAAGTGGAGAGGGCGGAGAAAATGGCAGCCAATCTGACTTATCGCGGTAACATCAAGCAGGCTTCCTTATGCTTTTTACAACATACACCCAACGATGACGAAAGGCGGAACAGGCTAATCTATCACCTCAAAAAACGTCACGTAAACATCATGCCGAGAGAATATCCAAGCCACATTAACGAAAAATAAATTAAAAAGAGCTTGCCTAGTGCGACACTGTCGAACATTTTTAAGAAGCAGTGTTAATCTTGGGTCTTTCTGTGTTTCTCAAGGATAACCCATCATAGACACTACTAGTACTTAATGATTCCTAATATTTGACTTCGCGGGTAGCTACGTTGTCAATGTGTGCAACTGTAATGATCTTTTAAGTTAAAATTTTTATTGATGATTTATAGGCATCAAATGAGGGTCTTCTTTACCAAATTAGTTAAGGATACTATAAATGTTTTTCACGCTATTTTAGATTATTTTTTAATAATGCCTAAATCATCACATGTAAGTAAATGTTCCGTAATAGATGGCATCTCACTGAATATTTTCTTCTCCAATCCACAGGCTATATATACAGAGTAAATCCACATGGCAGCAAAGTGAGTTACAGTGCTTTAAAAATAACCAGCAGCCTAGTTTGTAATCGTGATCACATTGTCAGCCAATAGATCATCATTCCCCCAAGTATATAATATGAAACTTGAACACAACGAGCGGATGATGTTTCAGCCATTCGTAATAGTTGTCAAAGAAAGTCCTCCAAATATTCTCAGCTTCATTGCAAGCTGTTCATCGTAACCAGCCAACAAAAGCCTCTGGTTTGCATAACTGATTTTCTTAACAATAAACCTGCCAATAGTTTGAGTAAACTATTACTAAGGTGAATCACTGTGGAAACATTTTCATCTTTCAGGGAGATGTGATGCTTCCGTTTGAAGCATATAAGAAGGTAAGTGGGGCCTACAGTTAAGTTTCTATGCCTTCAAACCCAACTATTCTCAAGAACAAAATCACAATCCTCCTTCTCCGGCGTTGCTATTAAAATTTTATGAAAGATTTCATCATGAGTGAGAGACTGCATGGCCTTGTGAGGTCAGTCTTGAGTGCAATAGACAAAGCCCAGACTGTGTGTCATCCATTATGAAGGGGGTAAGTTTCTAGAGAAACTGTTGTGCTGTGCCCCCCTGGTTAACAATGTATTGATATTGTGAGGAGAAATTACTAAGTTTCATACCTAAGTTTGAAAGGGGTTCAGTAACCTTCAAGTTATCCTTAATTTTCTTTGTCTTGTTTTGTTTTGTTTTTTTTTTACATTGGGCAGGATACTCCCCCAGAGTGTAAAACTCTGATCACAGGCTTTCTGGAAAGAAACAGCCATGCTGGTAGAAGTGATTAAGCTGATGGCAGCATACATGTGAAACTTCTGAAAGTTTTTAAAATGCTTCACTGTCATCTAGTGGTTAACTGTTAGTGACAATAAAAATTGAGTGTATCACACAAACTTCAGGGGTTAGTTTCATTTTCAGTTTTTTTGGAGAGGTTTGTTGTGGTTCAATCTTTACCCTTTTATGTATATTGCATTTTTTGCATCATTCTAATGGAAAGGTCCACGATCAAGACCCAACCAGGTCATTGTGTTGTGTTATTGGGTAAGAAGCTACAATAGACACATTGCCTCTCTCCAAATACCAGTGAATTGACTTGGAAACTGAATGAAATACTGAGGGGTGGGGGAGGAGGAAGGTAACCATGAGATAGATCTGATAAGCTCCCATCTCAAAGGAGAAAGCAAAGATTGCTGAACAGAACAAGCATTTCACAAAAACTCAAGTACCTGTTCATAAAATCAACACCTGATCTTGTTCAATTGCCATAAGAAACAGTCAAACAACACCAAATAGACAAGAACCCTTCAGTATGATAGCCTGTTCCCAAGTTGTATTTTGAGAGCTTAGAAACCTGATAATCAACTGAGGTTACTCATAATATTGCTGTCATTTAAACCATGTCCCAACCTTAACTATATGGGTCTCACTAATATATTTCGGTGGAAGAACTTCCTCGCCATAATAATTAATAACAGTCATTTGTGGCATTATTGACACAAGTTCATCCAATAATTCATCTGGCACCAGATTGCATTGTGATGCATCAAGTCGTCTTAATCTAGGCATTTGCTGTGGTATTTTCTTTAATGGATTTCCACGAAAGTCTTTAGCACCACAGATGTTCATATCAATCATTTGGTGACATTTGTTGATCACATGTCCAAGGCCAACATCAGTAACTTCCCAACACCAGGAGATATCAATGCTTCGCAGATTTCTGCAGCTGTTTGAAAAATATAAAAGGACATGATTAGGCTGCTCAAATATTAAAAGAAAATTATGACCTTTGATAAGTTTAATAATTTAACAAAGCTATCCTTTTAAAGATCAAATGAAAACATCCAAAATCAGATGCACCTGTCCAGTTTCAAACAGACTTGTTAAAATCAGATGGAAGTGTCAGAATTGAGATTGAACAACATCACTATTCAAAGCAAGGTACCACAGAAATTAATGCTAATAACTGAAAAAAAAACTTTAAAGCTTCAAGGGCTTATATTAAAAAAATTAGTTTGTTGTACTTCATGTTTTGAAAGAGTAATAATCTTAAGTGTAAAATATAGTTTACATGTATTTAAAGTCACAGCTAAAATTTTTCAAAATTTATTAATTATAATCACCATGACAATCTACTCTACATTACCTTTCAGCAAGCGAGCTTACAGCTTCATCATTAAGGTTTGTACACTCTGCGACATTGACATGGAATAAGCCAGTAGCACTACCTGAATTTTGTGGATGAAGATGTTCAAAAAGTTCTTTTAAAGCTTTGGCAGAAAACTCTGTACCTTTTTTCAACGTTAGTGATGCAAGATTTTTCATGTTCTGCACACATTCCAGTGATTGGTCAGTTAGTGAGGTACAAAACGACAGACCCAAACATCTGAAAATTCATCAAAAACAGTCAGTGTCATTGAGCTTAAAAACTTAGTATCCAGTCTGCACTTAAGGCAGGTAGCTCACTACACGTTGCAGCTTTACTTGGTCTCCATAGCATAAGGTGATGAAGAATATCACCAACCTCCCCCCTCCTCCTTTCATATGAATGGCTAGACCATTGAAGATGACCCCAGCATTTCGTCAGGTTCTTGGGAGAGAGGAGAGATTACTGCTACCTGTTTGTATTCCTGAGTAAAGAGAGTCACAGTGAGTGGAAAGTTCCATGACCAGGAACAACAACATGACCTGGTCAGGTCTAATATCAAGAGTCCCGTGCATTCACTGTGTCAGGCCCCTGATTCTCCCACAAAACTTCATATGAATCTTCTTTTAACCCTTTAATCCCCAAGATCTTATTGTTAATTTTCCTCTCTGACTGCCACACATTTCCTTGTGAATTAGTTATGAAAGCTTGGTGCTAAATAAGGATGGCAGCTTCTACCTGATATGTTTGAATATTCTCATTTCCTGTTTGCTGAATAATGTATGAATATTACAGGGAGAAGTTTCAGGTCAATAACTTCTAGGAGTTAAATTGAGTTTAGCATCAATCACTCGATAGGGTAAAAGTAGTGAAAGTAACCAATGCTTCAATGTCATTGTGAAGCCATTGTTAAGTTAACCTAAGAAAATATCTGAGATAACCAAATAGTTGAAACAAATTGAATTATAATAACAGTTGATCACCAAGCTTGTGAGGATGACAAGTATTACGACTTCCATTCATATCCAGTCTGTTTGAATGCTGAGACAAGGACTTTATTACCTAAATTAAGAGCACAGTCAACTTGTTCCAATCACATATTCAAAATGTCCTCTTACTTCAAATGGTAGCATTTCCCAATTAGTTGAACAGTACAATCAGTCATGTTTTCACCATCAAGCCAGAGATACTCAAGACGTCTATAGCAATTTTCCACCAGCACTGTAATTGCATCATGAGTGATCCACTGAATTCCATCAAAATTTAGGTGACAAAGTTGATGGCACTTTGTTGAAAGAAACTTAAGTCCATCGTCTGTAAGCTTAGTGCAATGAGAGGCGTTGAATTTCCTCAGGGGTACCTTGTTCAGGCCATCCAAACACTGATCAGTCACGCCACATCCTGCTAGGTTAAGGTCACGTAACTTTGGGCAAAACGTGACAAATTGATCGATAATCGGTTTGTTGACTTGACTACAAAAAGACAAAGAAAGTGTCTGCAGATGAGGGCATGATTGTGCCAACAATCTACAGCCGTGTAACGTCAATTCCATCCTCGGCTGAAGGCACAGGTCTCTGAGAAGAGTAAAATTCGATTGGATAATGTCGTTAATCTCTTCAAGAGATCTTTCTCGGCTACTTTCCCAGAATGAAAGTTTCTGTCGTAAAAGTGGACATCTGGAATAATGTAGCCACATTTTGCAAATTGGGGCCACATGTCTACACAATTCACCAAGGGTAAAGAATGAAAATATTCTGAGAATGATTTCCTCTGGAAGAATGTCAAATGGACAGATGTTATCTTCGCGCTGTTTTATCACTGATTGCTCCAGAAATTTTTTAGTGGGAAGTTCTTCCAACAAAAGAGTCTCTTCGATGTCTTCATCCTCAAACTCATCTTTTGAGTTGTCTTCCGCAAGGTCTGCGGTAAGTCTCGTCAGCTCTTCAAAAGCTTCCAAGTCGACTCCGGAATCCATGATTTGCGCAGAAGAGGTGTCAACAGTATCATGTAACATGCACGAATAGGAAAATATACCAAAGGAAGGGTAAAAATGAATGTTGCTATCCAAAGAAGTTTTGAATTCTGAATTTTATTTTTTATGTATCCTGTCAGAATATTTTTTGATTTAAGAAAGAAATAGAAGAGAGAATAGAAAGAGAGAAAACACAGTATTATTTGTATTTAACACACCATTAACGAGTTGAGAGAAACCGCTGATCGTTGACTCCGCGTGTGTAAAATTTGGCTTTTGAAACTGATTTTTCAGCTGTTTTTCTTTAGTAACAACATACTTTGAGATGCTAAAAAGAAAAGTTCGAAGCCACCTTGGGAAAAAATGCTCTGAAGAGACACCTATTAAAGTAAAGAAACAGACCCTGGCTTCTGAGACCGAAGATGACGAAGCTGAGAGAACTTTAGAAAGACTAGTGTTTGGAGGTGAAGGCGATGTGATTAAAGAAATTGAGAAGGACTTGGCCGAAGATCGAGTTGCTTTTAGTTCAAATGACGAGGTGAAAATTACATCTTATTTATTGTGAATATGTGCTATTAATGTCAATTGTTGCATGTGGCCTACTCAGTATCATACACATTAAATTAAAGGTTATATATAACCTTGAAATTACCACTCTAGAAGTGTCAATGCTGATAATCGTTATAGAAATGTGAAAATCGACACGTAAAGGCTTGCCCTGAGTGGACATTTTTTTAGGCAATGATATAGCTTTGCGGCACTCGGTAAAAGAATCTTCATCTTACGTTTGCTCTTTGTTTAACGAGCTGGGGTGCCTTACGAACGTGCTTGTCAACCTACCAAATGTACATGTATTGAAAATAACACTTATATTAACAAGGATGATGACGATGACGAAGATCAAAGTGACAGTGATGATGATGATGATGATGATGATGATGATGATGATGATAATGAACTCCACTATATTACTAAAAAGAATGATAAAGAAATCACCAAGGAGCGAAAGCCAGTGTGGGAAGATGAAGCTGATGATGAAGAGAGGTACTGTGGGAGTATATTAAATAATAATGGAAATAATTGTTGATTAAAGGGCCACTTTTGGAAGTGCTTCACTGAATGAATTGCATGGCTCGGTGGCTGAATTTAATCAAATTCAAATGGATGCAACTACTGGGCAGCTGATGAGCTATCAAGCCATCAAAATGTTTATCTTTCATTTTCTTTAAGCATCAAGTCTTACTTACAAGCTGACGAGCCACCGAGCCATCAAAATGTAGACCTTGCTCATTCTTTGAGAACAAAGTCCCTCTTTTCTCTTTCACACTTAGTAGAAGGATTCATGTATTTCATGTTTTTTAGTACATTGCATTCAGAGTAATGTAACTATACTTTTCACTGTCAGGCCATTGGGCCATTCTAGTCATACTGAGTGAGAAAGGGGCCTGTTTGCCATGTACTTGCTCCATAAAAATATTTCCCTCAACTTTTAAATCTTGGCTTAAAATACATACAAGATGTCGTGTTCCCAGCACGGCAGACACAGGGTGCAGTGTAATTGGGTCCGCCAGGTCAACCACAGTGGAGTACAGGATGGACAGCAGACTCTTACACACGTTTATTGGACTAAATCATGTAATCAGGCTAGCCGACTTGTTACAACACTTGCAGTGAAAACTAAAAGGAATGCACAATCTGTCTAAGCTAAGGAAACGAGCTAAACTACAAATCTGATGACAGAAAACACAACTAACGATCGTGACTTACGTCTGATCTTGGCTCCGGGAATGAACTCCAAGTTGTAAAAAAACTCTGAAAGACTCTTATAAAACTCCTCTTTGCTCCAGGGACAACTCCTTAAAACTAAAATGTTTGCATGAAAAAAGGCCTAATATACTTCTATGATGTAAAGGAAACTAAACTGAAATAACTCTTTGTGTGGCTGGCCAAAAGGATATTTTATAATCAGGCAATCAAAACAAAACAAGGCTACATTTTAAGAAAACAAAAGGTCATATAATGTTCAAAAGCATTCTTTGTACAGCGATGTGACACAAGATATCTAAATGTGGTCCTTAGATTAGTTCAATGTTGTTCAATAGAGTGTACCATCAGTATCTTATTTTATCATTGGTTATTGTTTTGTAGAATCGAGATCACATCAATGTCACGTTTAAAAAAGCTACGGGATACCGAAGATGAGACAGTTATTACAGGGAAAAAATATACTCAAAAGCTGAAACAACAGTAAGTTGATTTTTTTTAGTTAACTGAGTTTTCTAGTTAACTTATAGTCTAAACTATCCACAATTTTTTATTCTCCATACTCTTACTAGTGTTAGGAGTGACAATTTTCTTTTTTTAACTAAATGAAGCTACAAGTTAGTGGTGAAAGGTTTCAATACTTGACAACCATCTGTTTTACTCCAAACGTAGGTTTCAGAAAATATATGGTGATGCAAGTTGGGCAGACCTGGACAAAAAGAAGAGGAAAGGTATTATGAAAGAGCTCTTAAGATGTGTTATTATTTTGATAGAGTTTTGAAATTATCCACAAGATAATGGTTAATTTTTTGGTTTTATACTTTGTATCAAAGATTCTCTTAGCGAAGATGAAGAGGAAGACTTGATACTACAGCGAGCAGGAAATCTTCTGACTAAAAAAGCAAATAATCTTCCCCGTGGTATTCTTGACATCAAAAGAATCAAAGATGCAAATATTGAAAAACCGTCAAATGTAAGTGAAATATGAAACATTCAAATGCACCTTTGATGTTGAATTGATGTATTAATGTGATGTTTAATTTTTGTTTGTTGTCAGGTGTCACAATATTTATTTCATTGTATGTGTATTAGATACACAGACTGTTGGCTACCCTTTCCTTCACCTTAGAATCAGAGTTTGTTGTGGTTTTATAATGCTAAAAAAACTTACTAATCCAGATAGCTAATAAAAAATTAATACAGATTTAAGACAAGAACTTGTTACTTAAGCTAGCCAACACCACATGCTGATAGGCAATCTGGACCAAACCTAAAATGCTGATCATCATACACAGTGTGGCATTTTCTGTATAACATATCAGGCCCCTTTTGTCTCTTAACAGGCAACTTTACAGTGTGTGGAATTCCACCCAAGTGCCAAGGTTCTTCTCACTGCAGGCTTCAACAAAACACTAGATCTTTTCCAGGTAAACAATTTTGTATTTCATTTTTGTCTGTCAGGTTATTAAATTTATTTTTCAAAGACAAGTATTGTGCCTGGGTATTCAAACCACTCACTTACAAAGTTTCAGCTCAAAGCTAAAGTTTCAGGAGTGATTCTTTATCTTTAACAGACAACAATTTAATTGTCCAATTTTCCAGAGGCACTGAGAGAGTTCTTGAATTGGAGTTGGACCCTTTAACTGGAGTTGGGAATGTTGACCTCTGTACATCCACCTCTCCCAGTCATTCTCCCAAATGAAGCAAAAAAATTTTTAAAAAAAACTCTTTTTTACAGTGTTTAATCAGGTTTTACTTCATTTGTATAGACACGTATACAGTTTTGCTCACACACATATAATACAATGTTTTTATGTCATCATCAGATAGATGGACAGACAAATCCAAAACTTCAGAGTGTATTTCTTGAAAGGTTTCCCATTCACACAGCTCACTTCAGTTCAGATGGTGAACAGGTTATCTTGGCCTCACAGAGAAGATCATTTTATGTCTATGACATGATCAAGGGAGAAGTGATAAAAATTCCTGAAATAAGAGGTATTGATGATTTGTCATATACAACCATTGGCTTAGTATTTATTTCACAAAGGTTTTTAAGACTGTGAAACTACAAATCAAGTCAAATTCAGGTGAGATTTTTATCAGCAAGTATACAAATTTTTTTCATGAAAATGTTGTGTAATAAATGGAAGGTCTTATTGTGTATATTTGATTTGTTCTTTGCAGGTAGAGAGGAGAGATATTTTGATAAATTTCATGTTTCACCAGATGGGAAACATCTTATTTTTCTTGGTACCAATGGCTACATAATTCTTCTTTCAAGCAAGGTAAGTCTCCTTCCGTACAATCAATCTACATGTATGAGGTCAGCTAAGGCACCACGACCAATCACAAAGACTTTACCAAAAATTAATAAATTTGTCATAAGAGTTCCTGTCATTATTGTGGTGATTACTTAACCCCAAGCTTAAACTGCCATTATGTGATGGATGTCCTCCCACACCCCCAGTACATATGCTTTTGGTTTGTTGAAGATCATTTTGTGTTGTATCAGGATGAAACTTTCTTTTGATGAGACTGTTTTTTCTTGTATCTTGTTTGCTTTTGAATTTGTGAGAAGTTACATATTTATTTACTAAAATCTGTTGGAATTCAGGGATGTAGGACTATAAGCATCACTATGTGAATTTTAAGAAAATCTGTGGAAAAGAACTTCAGGCCATATCTGATTACTCCTTTATTGGTGACTTTCTTGCTGTTTACATTGTAAATTTTGCTTCATTTTTTATTTAGACAAAACAGTGGATTGGAAACTTAAAGATGAATGGTTCAGTGCAGTCAGTAGCTTTTAATGCTGATGGATCTCGTATGTTTACAGCAGGAGGTAGTTCCCGTGTAGTTATTGTCTCCATCAATGTACATTTACATGTATGTGATAATGCATATTTCCCTAAACTGATGATTTCTTCTCATTCATTTGCACAGATGATGGAGAAGTGTATATTTGGGACATGAACACTCGTAGCTGTGTGCATAAGTTCAGAGACGAAGGGTGTCTCAACTCCACCTCACTGGCAGCATCCAGAGATGGACAGTACTTAGCTTGCGGGTGGGTGTGCATATTAATCACAGGTCAAATATTATATGATTTGTTTTGTGTTCTATTTGAGACTAAGTTCCACTTTGGGGAACCAAGAACTCAAAGGAATTTGCCTGGTTCCAAAACATAAGGCTTTGTAGTCTAGTGGGTAGTAGCACCCAACGATTATCAGGGAGGCATGGGTATAAGCCTTGTCAAGGCCTTCCCCATTGCATATGCATGTGCTTAAAAAAAATTGGCTGCTGATCAGCATTGATGCAAGGCAAACCTGTACTTTTTTCTATTGCAGATCTGATAGCGGTGTTGTAAACATCTATGACAATCAACGTTTAGATCAGACGCAACCAAAGCCATTAAAGGCCATCATGAATTTGACTACAAGCATCAACAACGTTGCTTTTAATTCTACAAGGCAAGTTTTCAGCATTTCAACCACTTTGATCAAGAATTGCATCTGTTTGTCCTGAGCAGAAACTCCAACTTAATAGTTTGCAGTAAAATGACAATCTGAATTCTAAGGAAACATATTAATCACCTGTGACAGGAAAGGGCATAAAAAAAAATTCGAACTTCAGACACTTCCCGTCAAAATGTAACACTCCATGCCACCTTTTTTTTTCACCAAAATTACTCATATTTTCCTTCATGTACTATATTAATCATTTCCTGCTTTTATATACGCAGCGAGATCTTGGCGATGTCTTCAAGAGCGAGAAAGGATTTGTTTAAAATGGTAACTACTTTTTCGTATAACGCCGTAGAGAAGTATGTTATAGAATTCAAGAAAAAACATATGGAAGAGATCAAGATTTAAAAAGGTGGAAAGATTCCTAGAAATCTTCATCTTACAAGGCGTAAAAAGTTAATCGATTAACTGAAAATTCAGCGTAAATTTCAAAACACAGATTCCGTCACAGTGCAGCATCCTTGGAAACATTTTGAGGCATGAAAACCAAAAGATAGTCTGTTGGCGGAAAATTTTTATCAGTTACTTTTTTTGCTTTTCTTTGTTGTTTTTCAGGTTCATCTTCCTTCACTTTCCGTTTTCTCCAACTGGCCCACGTCCCGTACTTCACTCAGATACGTAAATGCATTCGACTTTTCTCCAAACAGTGGATATCTTTCCATCGGTAACGACAGAGGCAAAGCGTTACTGTACAGGTATCATTACTGTCACGCTTGCATCTTAGTTTTGGCACGTATTTTGCTTTGCAATCTTAATATAGTGCAGACACCTGTTACCACTCCTCTCATTGGCTTAAAGTTATAAGCGGTTAGATTTAAGTGTGTTTTAAATTTGGATTTTTTTTTCAGATTGAATCATTTCACAGACTCATAGCATGCACGACGTGCATAGTCCCATTCATCATGACGTTAGTTGAGCGGGTCCATCACGGGCAGTGCTGCAGTGCACGTGCAGTTAGTCGATCACGTGGTCGTTGTCAAAAGCTGATTGCACACTGGGCGTTTCCCTGTGATCACTCAGAAGGGATGTGCAACGCGTTTGATAGGTCTCCAGTGTTATCACGGCGTCGGCCTGGTTATTTCAACAATCGTAATTTTTGGAATATAACTGCAATTTTTAACCGTCAAATCAGCTCACAGAATATTTGCCTCATTGAACTCTGTTTGTGCCTGATAAATTGTGCGTATTTCAATTTTTTTTGCCATATTTTGAATTTTAACTGTCTGAAAAATAACAAATGAAGTACTTAGATGTCTTATTACTAGTGGCACCCTTTTTATTTTCAAGGTAGGTGCCATATTGTTTACTTCTAGAATTCCATCAGATAAAATAAATCTGTTCCTAACTGAGACACAGGGTTGTGTGTAAAATATGTTCGCCAGTTCGTCCAGTGTGTCGAGGAGTGCATCATTTTCCAATTTTTTTCCGAGAAATATATTTTGGTGGTAAGAAAGAGAGGAAGGGTCTGCACTTACAGTTTACACCCAACACCATTTTATTATTTTTTTATGATTGTTTTCAAAAACTTAAACAACACAGGTACAAGTGACAAACTCTAAAACTATAAGCAAAGCTTTAAAAGAAAACAACAACAACAGCGAGAGAAACAACGGCAAAAGTGTCAAATGACTAGGAAGCGGAAAAGTGATAAAACCCACTTCTATTGATGGATTTGTCCTTAAAAATGTCTTGAGTAACTTGTGCTTATGCTAGACCTACCTGTATTCTATACTTTGTGCATTACCCTACGAAACTTGATTGAATCTGATCCATATAAAGACCCGAGGAACTTTAATATAAACTAGACTCATATAGATTCCACGGTGAAGCAAAAAAATCACCACGACCTTCTATACAGAGGTCGTTGCCATAGTCACTTGAGCCACACCGTCAGATAAGGGGAACCGTGTTTGTACGACTTGTTGGGCCAATCAGAATCGCTGCTTGGACAATCGTTAGCATAGCCATTATTTCTCCAGCCGTGCGCCAGAGAACCCTTAGTGTTGACACCCACAGCCATACAGTAGTCGTTCACAGCCAAAATTCCGCCTCCGTGTTTGAGAGACGTGTAGGGATACGATCCTCCATGAAGAGAATAAGGCATTATCCCAAACTCGTTTTGATAACAGATCTATGGACAATAGAAAGAAAATTGAAAGCTCAGAGTGATGAATAGGTTGTGGTACAATTTAGGGCTCCAAGCTTCTTTTACCAACGCCTTTTGTTAAAACCTATGACAATTTCAAAGACGAGCTTAACGGATTATGTCAGTCTTATAACTAATAACTCAACAGAATTAAACGACTGAGACAAACTGCTGCCGTATCTTCCATTTTCTCGAAATATTGATTACGGTGGAAATTTTTGGAGAGTTCTACGGCAGAAAACTTCACCTGATGCGTGTTTTGTGTATTCTAAGGACACACGTCTAATTCAAGACCAAAGCTGCTGTGAATAAAACTCCTTTAAAACAGTTTAAAATAAAAGGCGTTCTTAGGTACCTTTTTGTTTCCATTCCATGCATGCACCAGTACAGGTGTCACAACGGCCTCCTGCACAGCGGATTTACCAATAGCATGATTCCAGAACTTTTCTTTTTCTCTGTTTCCCGGCAGTCTCCACATAACCCACTTGCTTCCCAAGCCATCCGTCCTCTCGCCACTGGACAACAGAATCGTGGAAGCTGCTTCAACAGCCAGACTGCGAGCATCCATGCAGCCAAAATCTTTATGTTTAGTGATTTTTGGAGTTTTCAGTGCTGCAGTGTTGTGGTTAGACACAAGCCAAGTCTTGTAGATGTTGCCAACTTTGCCACTGATCTTTCCCACAAGAGTCCAGCCTCCATTGGCCATGTCACAGTAAGTCTGCACTAAAGAGCTTCCTTGCAGATCAGTCTTTATCCAGTAAACTCCATTCTTGACGCGCGGTTTGTTATTTGCTAGACTTGCATCATGAATTTGTTTGCAGGAGTCAGCGGGAAGGTTCTTTGTACCCAGGATACTGGTTTGACTGAGACGAATGGGTTCAAAGTTTCCGAGAGTGATATTTGGAGGACCAGCAACCAGGAATCTGATTTTAATGTTGTCATAGATTGTTTTACAGTTGTTTGGAGAAGTGTGACAACCCAGGCCAAACGTTCCACCCGGTATGTTCCAATCATTGCTGACTTTTACATTGTTATGTACGAGTTTACCATCCTGCCATTGTGAGAATCGGTCGCCAAGCACTTGGTACTTAAAATGAAACCAAGTATGAAGCGCAAAGGCTCTGGACAGTTTGCTGTTGTATTTCCAGCCACCATCTTTGTTATTGCGTTGAGGCCTTAACGTACAGGTAAAAGTGTTATATGGACAGTACTCAAACCACCACGCTGTGGTCTTACTGTGTTGAACATTGGCCACACGCAACAGTGGTCCAGGACAACTTTTTCTACTCCCAGTCTCCATCATGTCAAGCTCCACTTCAATATCTCTCCAAGAAAATCCCGACTTGAGATACAATGCGACCTCTATATAATCTCTTCCCTTAATAGCCATGGTATCGCCAAGCAACCGTCCATTTTGCACAGTCCATTTGCCGTAATTGTTCTTCACCCAGTCCTTCTTTAGGGCAGGGCTCGTGAAATCATCATAAAACGCATACACCCGTCTAGGGTTATCCATAACACTTCCGCTGACTGCATCACCAAGCATTAAAGAGTAAGAGATATCATCAATGGTGTTGGCTGACATACGAGCCTGCAGTCTAAAGTGGACTGTGGCTGACTTTGTCCCCACACCACTAAGAACACGGTCTATTTGAACCGGTTGCTGTCCGTTAGCATGGTAGTAGACTTGTAGGTCATCTCCATTGTCACGTGTTAATCCTCGATCAATCAGTGCACGATGGTTAACTGGAGACCAATTCAAAACAAAGCCAAAGTTTAATGCCAACAAAATCAATTTGTACAATATTTCTCTTTTAGAAGGTTTCGATGAAAAATAAGGTCTTCTTTCTATTGACCTATTTACCTGCACAAGAAATCAGTCACCGAAAGGTCGAAAAATGGTTTCAGTTTTGAACGGTATTTCAAGATTCATCAGTCCTTAAGCCGTACTGCTGACCCCCTTAAGAAATTTATTGGATTTCATTGTTTTTAAAAATCGTAACCCCTTTGTATTTCGGAAATCATAACCAACCCACACGTGCAGGTGAAATTTTGACTTTAACCCTCTAACTCCCAGATTCAATTTGTAATTCTCCTTACTGTCAACTATACAATTCTTATAGTGTTAGTTCTAAGAATTTAGTATGGGATCAACTAATTATCCCCAAATTTATATTTTTCTTTACTCTCACCCCTTATCTGATTGATATTGTTAGGAGAAATTCTGTCTTGGTCACTCATGGGAGTTAAAGGATTAACTGAAAAGTCATGATAATATTTTATGATTTGGGACTCAACAGCATTCTCAACCCTCTCAATACTCAAGCAATCTTCATCGAAAAAAGATAAATATTTTTTTGTGATTAGAAAATCGCTACTAGACCGTATTTGAGATCGTGCTAAACTCGAAGTGAAGTTCATTCAAAATACTGAAATTTGGAATGGTAACATTTAAGAGCTGCAATTTAACAATTTATAGAGATAATGTATCTAGAATAACTAAAAATAATAAATTAAAGTTTCGGTATCTGATGTCGAAAGTTTCTGGATCAACCAACTTACTGTTGTATCACCGAGTCCAAAACTTTTAAACGGATATAATACAGATGATTTATTTGATGATATGGCACGATTTGAGGAATTAAATTTTTTACTTACCTTGTACAGTTATAGTGTAATGTTTAGGCAGAGGAGAGCTTTTTGTCGCAATGTTTATTGCTGTTTTACCACCACGAATGCCGCAAAAACAGCTTTGATTTCCACCTGAAGCATTTCCCTTCACTAGTTGATCCAAAAGACGCTGCACTGGTTTCAATAAGGCGATTTCATCTTCGGCAATTCGAGATAATTTTTCGGCATCTTTTTGCATGACGTTGGCTAGATTTTTCTTTTCATTAGAGGTGTTTAAATCGAGTGTTAATTTGTAAATCAGAGAATCGATCTGACTCTTTGCGCGGTACACCTCTCCATGCTTGGTTGGCTGTGTCTTACGAGACGGACTCTTCGCGATTATCAATTGTGACTGGTTTAAAAATAACAATAAAAGGATCAAGGAAGCGATGATGCTTAGTTTGGGCTCCATTCGATGGCGGTGGGATTTGGTGTTTAGTTCAAGTTTGCGCTTCATATGCCTCTCTTATTGTGACCTCTGAGATAATTTAAGCCCAAAAACTTAAAGTTTGCATGTTATTTTTCGTGTCTTGAATGTTTGCTTAAGGTATTTAACAGAAGAATCAAATTGTCAGTAGGGGTCATTTGTCATTGTTTATAAAACAGAAGTTGTGTGACAACTACATCGAGATCTTCCATTTTGAAAAATTTAAATCCTACTGGAAAGGGGGTGATACTAACTTGATCTTAAGTGTATTTCTTTTCTGTTTGTATCAGCTTAGCTAAGTTCAGCCCCGGGCTGGTTAAACTACTCCTTTGAGCTTAGAATATTGCTTTACAATTATAGATTCGCTTTCTTTCAAAGAATCAATAGATTCATGAATATATGTCAAAAATCTTGCGCGGGGTGTATGTAAATTCAGTTTATGACAGTAGTTTAAGATAGGTGAATAAAATATTTTTCTGCCACGTGAACTTTAATACTGTTTTTCTTTCTGTTGTAAAAAAAAAAGGGGGAAATAGGCAAGTCGTTTCTCCGTTTATTTATTCACAGAATGTTCCTCGCTTCTGCCTCCGTTCGTCTGAAAAGCAGCAAAGATATTACGCCTGTTCTTATTTTCACGACGATCGGAATCATAGCAATAAGTCTCACGAATCGGTTTCGTAGAGACGTCTTTGGTTTAGTAATCTAAATCGTAAACAATTCGTACAACTATCGACACTGGGTAAGGTGTACCTCGGTGTATAAAGCTGTCCACACCACCTAGATAAGTTTCAGCTATCTAAAATGTCTACAGCAGATAAGAGTATTCACGATATTTTACAGTACATAATAGTATCTACGCTGTCTGTAGTATATTCAAGTCATTCAGCTATCTGCAGTGTGGATGGCTGTACCTGCTAGAGACTTCCTCTAAACTGTGTTGATTGGTCATTAGTGGTCATAATTGACTGCAGCATACACGAACGATATTTTCAGTCACTGTTTTTATATGAAGTATATACCAAGACAGCTCAGTGGCACCATCTTAACTGTGGTTTGGTGGACCATAACTTGAGGGAATTTTATTCCAGATGTAAGCTAGTAAAGTTATTTAAGTTAAGAGCTAATGGGGTAATATCTTCAAAATTTTTGTTTCTCTTTAGGGCAGAGTACTGGAAGTCGCAACCCAAAAAAATGTGCGAGTTTTGCAAGTGCTGGATCACTGACAACAAAGCAGTAAGATTTAGTATACGACTAATTAAAAGCTTGAAGAATCATTTGTTTAAATCGTAGTCTTGGTGAATAAAAGAAAAGGAACATTACAGTCGTCCTGATTATACATGGAATTGTTTGATGAGACCCATGAAAAAGTCTGTATAGCCTGTGTGAAAGTGATGTTAACGTCTATATCTCAATTAATTGACTTCACAACTTCAGGATCAACATCAATGCCCTAAAAAGGCATATACAGTTTTATTCTACCTTCGTAACCAGTGTTTAAATTTGTTTCGTCAGATTACGACTGAAAACGGATGCTTTCTGGTTTAAAAAAAGTGTTTTTTTTACACTTGTCTTGTATTAAAAAATTGTCATAGAGGGGTGCCCACACAATAGGTTCTGTTTTCTTGTCCTCTTCTCTGTGAGGCTGAGAGCTGAAAGAAAGTTTCTTCTCTTTGGAAATTTGTAGAGTATAGAGTTTCATGAGAGGGGTAAGAAACACAAAGAAAATGTACAGAAAAGAATTCAAGAGGTAAGGGAGATGTTGTGTGTTTGTTTCCATGATTTTACCCTCTGAATCTCCTGAGGATAAATCTTTGTTCTTGTACTCTTTGAAAGCCTATTTACTTATATAGAAATGCTAAAGTGACAAACACTGAGGTATAAAAACTTGTGCACTCACTAAAATTCCTCCTTGCTAAAAGCAGTCCACTATCAGGAAGAAATGGAAGGGTTAATCTCTTCCTTCTTCAGGTATACTGTTTGTTGTTGCTTGTCTTTGTTTTTGAAACTTCCTTGCCTTAAATCCTGCCAATATTTCATATGAAAGAGCTGATTAGAACACAGAGCTGCTGTTGGACTTTTCTTTGCTCTGCTCACCAGGTTCAGAAGAAAGGCAAAGAAACTTCTCAGGCCCAGAAACAACTACTGATGGATTTAGAAGCCATTGAAGCAGTATGTAACATAGATATGCTCTGAATTCCTGCAAAGTAGCTTATATGTACCAGACCTTAAGACAATTACTTGAAAATCAGAATACTTGAATCACATCTTCTTATTTCCAATTTCCTTTGATCTCACTGCACATATTAATTGTTAAGATTTCTTGACTAAAAAATTGCTCCCACAGAGCTTAAATAGCTGTAAAGGCTGGTTTTCATGCTAAAAACAAGGATGTGCTTAAACAACATAAATAGAGGTATTAATCCATTGATTATAAAAAGTGTCCTGTTTCAATCTTCACTTACCATCCAATCTGTAGACAGTACTTGGAAATGTATTTCCTACTGCATGATTGCCATCTTTGAGGCTGTTAAAACTAGTGTTGTTTTAGATTTCAATTATGTCATGTTATCTCCAATAGGCAGCACTGAAGGCGTATGAGAAAGACTTAAACATTGAGCCATCAAAATCAAAGCCTGAATCGAACACAGAGTCACAAAAAACACAAGCAAATGAAACTTGTTCCAAAGGTGAAAGCTCTGTTGGTAAGAACCCATGTGCAACACTCTCCTCAGAAACCCAAGTGTAATGTCCCATCAGGATGGGCCATAGATTTACAAAAGCTGAGGTTTTTTTTAGTGAGGGATTGTTTCTTGATGAACGACTTTTTTATAAGATTGTTGAGAAAGGTGTAGTAACATAACTATAGGCCTCAATTGTCTGTTTATAGGATGTGTCATTTCTTATGAGGGACAAACACCCACTATGCATTGCAACCATGGTTGGAACATTGCTCAAGCACCAGAAGGCTATTACTATTATTACAACACAGCTACACAAGGTGAACAATCCATATTTAGAATTGTCTTTTTTTAAGAAGGTGCTAGATGTATCAAACAATACTTTTATGTAGTGTCAAAGCCCAACAATGATCAGTTCAAGTTGGCAAAAACTGGTTGATGGGTTCAGAAATATATAATGCAAACCGTAAATGTTGAGATAAAATGACTACTAAATTTATGGATTTATTATTGATAGGATTGATTTCTTAATTTTACAATTCATATGATTCATTGACCACAAGAATGATTCCTTAAGTTTTGGAGTGATTGGTTGACTGATTGTTTGATTGATGGATTGATGGAATGACTGATTGACTGGTTGATTGACAGATTGATTGATGGACTGACTGATTGACAGATTGAATGATTGACTTCCTGATTGTGACTGATTAACTGAATGACTTCCTGATTGTGACTGATTGACTGAATGTATTGCTTGATTTTGATCCTCAGCATCTCAGTGGGAATCCCCCAGTTGCTTATCGACTCCATCAAATCAGGACATGAGGTACAATAGCTTATTAATAAACTTTTGTACTTATAAATGATCATTTTTTTCTATCTGACTTGGTGATTGACTTCTGTATGAAGTTAGAAATGTGTTAATCATTTTTTGCTATTAATTGTCATTATCATACATGTATCTCCTATATCCGCCCAAGAAATGCCAAGGAAGATAAAGCACTGAGTAAAGAGGATCAGACAAACTCTCAAAATGTAGGTATTGTACTAAATACTGTCCAGAATAATATGCATGTAGTTGGTTGAAAGCAAATTAACACTCTGCTTGTCTGTTCAGCCATAATTGACTCCTTAAACAAATCCATTTTCCAGCTCAGAAACTACATACTGTAATTTCCACTAACCAATTGAAATAAATAAATTGAGAATTAAACTTAATTGTGTTTCAGTTTTGACAATGCTATCACTACATGATTTATTTAAATGGCAGAGGTGATTATAAAAAAAAGACACTTTCCCATTGGTCAAGGATTGTGTAATATCTTACCATAACCTCCCCATCTGAGGTGATTATTATAAATACTGAAGCACTTATTTTCAAAATGGCCTCTGCACATTATGTCCAATGTTGCTGACTTGACTGAAGGAAATGCAATTGCTTTGATGATCAGCTGTGAGTGAGTGATAGTTCTTGAAATTATTTCCTTTTCCAGGCTCAGTGAATTTCTAACATAATCATTATACCTTCTTTGGAATCAGTCAACAATACTCACTTTGTCCTTGGCAAATAATTATTTAATGTGATCAGGTTTATAGCACATTGTTCCTCAATATCATCCACAGTTCCAAATATGATTTATTTTATTTAACTGTGAGCAGGTCCCTTTACGCAAGCAAAGAGCCATCTAAAATTATCCTTACTCCCAAAAGATATCATTTTGGCTTAGTTGGTGGTGGCACTCAATTAGTGTCTGGGAGGTGTGTGTTCAAATCACATTAAAATCTGTATTTTTTTATGATGCCATTTCTTTAATTGCACTTCAATTGCAAGGATCATTGCCTTGTTTGTTATCAAATGAAAATCAAACTATCAATCATTTCTTTTAATTGTTGGCAAGTCTTATGGTGACTTTTGCTTTACTCACTGATATCTTTCCCTTAATTATACCATGTTCTGAGATTATTTTCGAAATTTGCCTTTTTCCACACAGAAAATAGAAGAGAATCAAGTTCAGAGAGAGGAAAAGAAACAAGTAAAGAACTCTCCATATGGACAATGGACAACTGTCCAGACATTCGAACCTCCTCCCCAAACGTAAGTGCAGTTATGTCGGTCAGCCATTCTTCATTGTGTCATCTTTGCGATAGCTTGTGACAGTGGATAGCTAGACTCTAATTTTGAGGCTGTAGGAGTTGTAAAAAGAGGGAGTCTGGGCTCCAACTCTAAAGCCAAACAGATTCAGAAATGAAACTAATTGGAATTGTTCACTCGCCTCTCTAGAATAGGCTCCAAATTACCTTCTGAAATACCGAGTGACGCTTAATATTCATCTTCCTTTAGTCCCCCATGAAGCTCTTTCAAATACTGATCTGTTTAAGTCCTAAATGTGACAGTTATCAATGTGTATTCAATGATATATATGGAAGCAGAAGAATTCCTTCTCTTTGCAGGGCGAAGATTGCTTCTGTCAGCGAAAGCGAGACTCAACAAACCACAACAATCGAACCAAACTCGACCGTAGTAAAATTCAAAGAACGATCAACTCCAAAAATTACTTTCCGTTCAGTTGGCGACGGAAACGAAGTCGCCTTCAAGAAACGTAAACTCAACCCTGAGAAAAAGAAGAACATTCGACAAACAGATCCTAATAAGGCCAGCTGATACTCGATTTTGATCCCATTAAACTGTCAAGGAACTATGAAGAATCAGCAATAAATTACGTCTGTCAATTAATACACAGACTGAATGTCTAGTGATAACGGATCCACAGTAGGATGAGAAGATCACATTGGTATCATAATATGCTGCTAAGGGCTTAGATCTACCTATACAATATACAAGCAGGCTAGGTTATCTTTGATATACTCAAATACCTGAGACAAACCCCTTAAAAGCATTACCAATTATTGTTTATAAACACAGACGCGCATCATACCCACCAGAAGGGTTTATTGACAACGTTTGTATCCCAGACTAGCCACTGATACTTCTTGACTTAATAAATGTTTGAGTTTGCTTAAACAAATTGCATGAGATTTACGTCTTACATGAAGATTTCGAAAAGGGAAACAAAGTTTGATGCATACTTGTTGTTAGACCAAGCCGAGAGGGCACATCAACACCTACGATATTAACTGATTGACCCTAGGAAAATTGTCTGAAGTGCTGAAGAGAGCGTGATTAGATATGTAAAGTAAAGAACTTGTTTGGTTTTGACACCAGCCAAGGAGATACAGCACTCGCACCTAATCTACTTAGGACAAGTCAACTAATCTGTGAAGTAAGATTAATGCTTAGCAACGAGATAACATAACATAAATATCTTGTACTTGACGTGATAAATAGCGCCCTGGAAACAGTGGAAACAAAGCACAGAATAATTCGATGGCGAGCGATTTGGAGTTCAAAGATGATGGCAACGAGACGATGGAAGAAGAATTGATGAACGGATTTTCTGTCCACTTTGATATCTATCCTGTCATTGTTGCAGTATTGATAGTCATCGCCAATGCCACCGCTCTGATCCTGATTCTTCGTAGAAAGAAACTCCAAACTGTGAGCAATGGTATATCAGCAAGCTTAGCAGTGAGTGATTTTTTGGCTGGTGCGGTAGGGATACCTTTGTACCTGGCCTGTAATGTCACTCACACTCCGTCGTGGTGCCTCTCTAGCGCTGCCTTCTGGAGGTTTGTATCTGTCTCTACAGTTCTGCATTTGACTATTTTGACGTTGCATCTGTTTGCCACAGTGGTTCGCGCTTTAAGATATGATTCCCTCTCAAGGCAAAGAGTTTCTGTCTGTCTGGTATGCGCCTGTTGGGTCTGTGCTGCCTTTGTGTCTCTTATTCAGCTGTCTTGGATCATCTATCCGGACGACAATTATTATGAGCACAAGCTTCGAGTTCACCGAATTTACTCCATCGTTGTGATGATCCTCTTCCTCGCTGTACCGTTGGTTACGATGGTTTATTGCTACACACGTATTTTTGCTCTTGTTCGCTTGTACAGAGTGGAGAAACAGGCACAGCTACGGAAGGTCCGCTCTCTTGACGACAACCAAAACCAAACGTTCCCTAATGTTGCATTGAAGTGGAAAGTCGCTGTGGTGTTTGCAAGCATGTTAGCCGTGTTCCTCATTTGTTGGGCGCCATACTTCATCCTGGAACTTATGGAGGACGGTGAAACTCTGGAGTCATTACCTTTTTGGGCAGTGTATTTCATGTTTTACTACACAAGATTCACTGCCTCCGCGATCAACCCAGTCATTTTGGTTCTGGGAAAGCGCGATTTCCGATCTGCCCTCTACGAATGTTTAAGGTGTTGTCTTACCTCAAAGAAAAACAAACGGGCTCGTGGAACAATCGATTTTCTCGTTTAAAACGATAAAGCGACTTAGACAAGAATTGAAGCGTAGAAAGGTGATGACTGATCAGAACAAACGGGTTTGAATTAGTTGTTAAGTGCTGGTAGATGTTAAATCTCCTAACTAGCGAGGACAAATTGTTGATAACAATCTCGAAATATGATCAAAAACAGCGTGTAACAATAGTTTGAATTATAAGCTGAGAACTCTGGAGGGTCCCACATTCATGAAGAAACTAGGTTGTTCATTGAGGATCTACCACACATTTTATGACGTCATAACGGTAGTAGTTGCATTCCATTTACGTTGCTTGGTTGAAGTTATGTTTGATTCTCCCAAATGCAACGGGATTACTTTTCTCCTTAATTAAATTTTTAACCTCAAATCGAATTAGCACATTTTTCTAATTTTCCGTGATTTAACAGCATACTCTCACGTACAACTGTACACGCGACCGAAATTGAAAATTTTAACCAAAAATAATTCAGTTACCGCTTGAAAGTAGCAATTCTTCAGTGTCATCGGAGATTTGACTTTGTATCACACGGTGCAATAGATGACAGTGGCACTGTTCAAATTTTGCTGTGGTAAAATCACAACTTGAACCCCAACCATTCTGGTGGCTGTACCCTTTTTCAAGTTTAACAATCGAGAATTACATTTTCTTTTCAGGAAAAAACGCCGGTGCAAATGAAATTTAATTTATGGGATTGCAAATTAGAGGTTTATGTGCCGGTATGAATTTCTGTGATATTTGATATTAATTGGTTTCACTGTTAAGTCGCTGAATCGGAGGACATGCTTGTTTGCGACGGTCTCTCTCTAGCTGGAGGAATTATCTTTCTTCAAGATTACAAATGGTGGGTGGCCACTTATTGTGTAGGTCTGGATTGCCAAGTCTGAAATTCTCCACCTCTAACTCACAGATATATCGATTTATTCTCATTGAAAAATCAAAAATTTATTATACAGAAAAATACAAATTACTAGCGCAAAACTTGAACTGAAATACTAAGCAACCTTTAATAAACCCTCTTAAATAATAATTAACTATTCAAAAGTCTTAATCAAAGTGCTTTCTGAGCAAACTCGTGAATTGACACATGATTTTTTAGATTATGTTTAATGTTATCTGGTTTAGGGAATTTTGTGGTTGATTGTCATATCTAGAGTACGAGCAGTAGTTCAGTGTTCGCTGATGTAGCAAAGAAACAAAGTAACGTTGGGATAAGAAGGCATTACAATTGAAATGATCATGCTATTACATTTGACAAGGTGGACGATGTCATGTGTTTTAAACGTCTATCATTTTTGTTTCTGGTTCAAAAGAAAAGGTTGGAAGTAAATGTGGGTGAAAAGTGAAATTTACTGTCTTTCGTTGTAAATATTAGAAAATCAAGGCAATACTGTCTTAATGAAAACATTAACGATTCCCTCTTTATCAAATGAGACAAACGGGAACGAGTTTTGAGTGATATAACTAAGCCAAGCCTGCCACCGTCATTTTGGATCTCCGCCTGGGTAGATTTAAGTCACGTGCTAGGCAACGTATGTTTATTTAAACGGTATGATTGCAAAAACTAAGGATACAAAGTACCCACTTGATAAAACAACAAAAAGAACGCAAACATCTTAAATTGATGAGCATGAAGGGTGCGACTTAACTGCTCTCTGGGTGCGTTAAGCACATTAACGTAATAAGTGATTTACTTTGCTCATTCCCTCTGGCGAATCTTTTTATCGATGTTCCTTTCTTTTCATGCTTAACCGATCACTCAAAACAAATGCAAACCAAAATATACTTATATATACAATTCATGTTGCGTTCATTGCAGGCCTCTGAGCGGATTTCAATATAGCAGAGAAAAATATCTAATCTACTTTCTACAATATTACACATTTCATAGTTCTGTGTGGATAAAACCTAAAAATAACAACTCTAAGAAATTGCAAAAAAAGTTTGAAAACTTCTAAAGTTAGCATGTGT